GAAATCCTTGCTACAGATCCCTGGCAAGCTCAGTAGTTTCTCCAACTTTTCCCTTCAGAAATGTGCTTGGTATCTTGAATATATAGGTTGTATATTTGACTATAATCATATGCTGTCTGTGAGATAAAGGGAAAAAGAGCAAGATTGGGTAGAAAATATAACATAAAAGATAGGAAGGGGTGCCTGGGCGGCTTAGTTGGTTAAGTGAATGACTCTTCATTTCGGCTCAGATCGTGATCTTAGGGTCATGAAATCTAGCCCCAAGTCAGGCTCCTCACTGGACATGGATGGAGCCTGCTGAGGATTCTCTCTGTTTCTCTCCCTCTGCTCCTCCCCCCTCTAAAAAATGATGGAAAGTAAAGTAACAGATAGTAATAAGGAAATTAAAAAAAAACATTTGTAGCTATCACTACATGATTTGAATATAAATCCTGAACACATTTGCCTTGTCAAAAAAATATACCTGCAATTAAGCTATATGGCCACCAGATGTCAGTAAAGTAATAACATGTCTCATCAAGATTTCTGAAACCCTGGAAACAGACTGCAGCTTTAGGCTCAATCTCCTTCATAATTTATAATTATGAAGCTCCCTTGTTACACTGATGGAAAACAGATTTTATTAAAATAGATAACATCAAGGAAACAAAGTAAAATCCAAAACATATAATACTTTTAAGGAAAACGTCAAAGTATCAAATTCTTCAACCATCTAAATGTATTTCTTGACTATCGTATGATAGCTAAAATTCCTAGCTCAAATTTCAACTGTTATAGTCCTTTTGACAATTTCAAACATTAGATAGAGATGTTAAGTTTAGTTCACTCACCTATTCAAAGTATTATCAATTTCTTTCTTCCCACTTATCCTGCCCACCCCCAACACACCCTTCACTCCATACACATAGCCACCTGTCACTCAGAGTTAGCAAAAGGAACTTCTGTGCAGGACACAATAAATGAATGTTACTTCTATCGCTGATTCTCATATATTCCCAGTGAATCTCTTTTAAGTATCTGTAAATTTCATCTTCTTTACATGAGGAAAATAAGTTCCCTCTCGGCCCTCCTCTATCTCAATTATGTTATACCAATATCTTCATGTTTTCATTTTTTGAAGCTATATAGTGCTGTATTTTATTCATAAGCTCTAGCTCAATGATTGTTTTTTTTTTTTTGTTTTAAGTTTTATTTATTCATGAGAGACAGAGAGAGGCAGAGATATAGGCAGAGGGAGAAGCAGGCTCCCTGTCTGGGGAGCCTGATGTGGGACTTGATCCCAGGACCTCGGGATCATGGCCTGAGCCAAAGGCAGATGCTCAACCACCAAGCCACCCAGGTGCCCAAGGATTGGCTTTATTAATCCCCCTGCAGCTGACAGTGAGGTGGTGGCCAGGTGTTGACCTCTGTTCCAGAAATCAATTTGAATCCTGGTTCTATCTCTTCTTTCTGCCTTTAGGAAAGGTTGTTTTGTTTTGTTTTTGTTTTTGTTTTGTTTTGTTTTGGAGTCTTAGGCAGTTTTGCCTTTGGGAAAGGTTAAGTGTGTCCTTCAGAATAGGAAAGGTTATGCTGCAGAACAAGCAGTTCCATATTTCAGTGGCTTAAAACAAGCGTATTTCTCACTCATGTTGCATGTCCAAATCAGGTTAGCAGAAAACGTCTGCTTAATCTAGCCACTCAGGAACGCATGTTGGTGGAGTCTCCTTCATATGCGCAGAGTAAGGTGTTTCAAAGTAATCCATAGTCATCTTAGTTAGTAACAAGCAGAGCCAGACGGTCTTCTCAATTAAATCCGCTGGTCCACCTCACATTTGCTCTCAACCCATGGTCCAGAGCTAATCATATGGACATGACTAACCTTAAGAGTGTGGGGAAGTGCAGTCCTCCATGTGTCCCAAAAGAGAGGGGAACTAACTACTGGTCAATAGTAGAAATACCTGCATGGTCTGCCTTAAATCTCTAAATATTTAGTGGTGATTTCTTAATACATGAAGAACATACCCATCCCCTTTCTAAGGAGACAACCTAGATACCTTATCAAGTGGGGCATTAAACTCAAAATCTATGGTCTCTGAACAGAGCTCAGATATGTTCCTTCATTATGATATCTTATATTGTAATTTCTACCTCAGACCTGGAAGCGGCATCTTGTGATCTCAAAAGTTATGAGCTAAAAAGATAAATGATCTCCCCCCACATCCACTCCCCAATTCACAGTGATAGAAGATGGAGGGACAGGATAACCACAATAAACACTCCTATTCAGAAAGAGGAAGAACAGAGACATGTAGAGGATACTGGTGGGCAGAAGTCCTGAATCCTGCCAGGTTAAGTTTTTGAGGCCCCTTTCCTTGGAGTAGAAAGTATTTTGACTAATCTCTGATTGTTCATGTTGAAAATGCTCCTTCATCCATTTTTCTCATCACTGTTGTGTCTGCCCTAAGAAGTTTTTCCTTTTCTTTTATCTTTTTTGACTATATCCAAAATACGTATTAGAGGATATGATGTCTTTGGGGGACATCAATAATTTTTCCTAGTCCACTTCCTACTATAGACGATTAGAGGCCTAGGTCTTAAGAATCATCCTCCCTTAGTGTGATTCCTTGGTCTCAAAACTCACTAAACCGAGACTCCCCGTGTATTGGATTTTGGTCAACTTTTTGTGCCACTAGCCACATCCTCCTATATTTACTTTCTCACCATCATTTCTATCTCTGGACTTAGTTCAAGTAATGCCACATTTTTATTTTCTTTCTTTGAGCACCTTTATTCAACTAAAAGGATTCACTGGGCATCTTCCCTTCACTGGATCTTCACTGTAAAACACTTTACTCCTCTGAGAGGTTTTAACAACTGTGTGTGATGACTATACACTCAATATGATCCTCCCTGAGAGGCTGAGATTTCATTAGCCTTTGCTGCTCACAGGATTTCTCATTGTTACATTTTTAGTTAAGAACTGAGAAGCAGCTGACTTTGCAATCCCACTAGTCCCTAAATTTTCAAATCCTCTCGGTTCTTTTTCATCCTTGCTTGCAAAGAAGCCAATTCTTTTCTGAGTGCATCTCTTTCTTATAATACCTTGCCAAATATAGGTAACTGAAACTGGCATTCACCACAGCACTCTGTCTTTCAACCTCTTTTCATAGATTTGTACATTAATTTGGTGCCTAACTGAAGGTGACAACTTTATCAGATGTTTTCCCATTAAATAAAATGAACTGCCAACTTTCCAGCCCCCAATATTAGTTTTCTCACCACCTAGCCCCAGGCCTGAAATGAATGTTATGTATTTTTTTTGTCACTTGGGTTTTTTGGTTGCCTGTTCTTCTTGCTGTTGTTAACAATAGTACCCTTCCTCCAGCTTCAATATCTATATCAATCAGAAGGGTCTAGGCTGTGCTTTGGCAAGAGGCAACCCTAGAACGTAAGCAGTTTGGAAAAACAGAGGTCAGTTGGACACTCACACTTGTATGTTCAACAAATTGGCAGGAAAGTTCTGCTCACTGTAATCCCCCAGGAACCCAGGCAGATGGGGCTCTGTAACTATACTCCCAACACAAGACAATCTCACACTGGCAACTAAATGCTGCAGCCTGGAAGAAACCCACAACACTTTCCCACTCGTTGGGGCCGAACTCATTGTCCAGGGCTAAGAATGTGGCCAGACTATGTTCAAAGAGTTATAGCCTTTACCCATTCAATGGTTTGATTTGGGGGTTTTTGTTTTTGTTTTAACTTTCTTAACCTCCATATATACAAAGCAGGCCACTAATGATAGTGTCTGTCCTACTACATGGCTTCTCTAGGCACTTAAGTTTACTGGTTTCTGAAAACAGCAAGGTGATATGATCTATTTGGGTTTTAGAGAAATTCCCTCTGATGTTAGTAAAGAGTAGGGATTGGAGGCTTAATGGGAAGTGGGTCACAGGATGGAGGCAAGGATACCAGCTAAGAAGCTGCTGTAGTAGTTCAGATGAGAGGTAGATAAGGAACATGAATCAATAGATTTGAACGTTATGAGGATCAGTCAAGATTGAGACAATGAATAGAACAGGAAAAGCCCAACTCATTAAAATAAATCCATCCGTGGGCTGACAGAAGAAGCTGATATTGGGGTGCCTGGGTGGCTCCATTGGTTAAGCTCCTGGCTTTGGCTCAGGTCATGATCCGTCCTTGGGATGGAGCCCCACATCAGGCTCCCTGCTGAGCAAGGAATCTGCTTCTCCCTCTGCCTGCTGCTCCTCCTGTTTGTGCTCTCTCTCTCTCTCTGCCAAATAAATAAATAAAATCTTAAAAAAGGAAGAAGAAGGAGCAGTCCCAGTGGTGCAGTGGTTTAGCGCCGACTGCAGCCCAGGGTGTGATCGCAGAGAGCTGGGATTGAGTCCCGCGTCAGGCTCCCTGCATGGGACCTGCTTCTCCCTCTGCCTGTCTCTCTCTCTCTCTCTTTCTCTCTCTCTCTCTGTGTCCCTCATGAATAAATAAATAAAATCTTTAAAAAAAAAGAGGAGGAGGAGGAGGAGGAGGAGGAGGAGGAGGAGGAGGAGGAGAAGAAGAAGAAGAAGAAGAAGAAGAAGAAGAAGAAGAAGAAATAATTCAGCAATGGTAAGGATATCATACTCTGAGTGGTGGCGCTCAGGCTAAACTGGGACCACCAACCCAGACAAAAGACTGTAGGGGGAATGTTTCAGAACTTGAAGGAGAACAGCCAACAACTGAATTCTTTCCTCAACTTCCTCCACTGAGCCTTGCTAACTGAGTTCTCATTTAAACAAATAGATTGTAACCCCAGCCCACTGAAACTTGCAGCTCTTCATAGTTGGGATTTCTATCCTAAATTTTCAGAAACAGATGCTGGGGTGTATTTTTTTCTCTCTTCTTATTCTTACACTATGGTTGTTTCATTTTCCTCTGAAGATCTCCTTTTGGGGTTGATGAAAATTCTGTGTTGAGAAAGGAGACCTTTTCCAGTTTCCAACCCAAATTTCTCTTCTGTCAAGTTCCTCAGGTTCCTGTAGAAGAGTTACTACCACAGAATCTTCAGACTTCGTTACCATGTTTGGTTAATGTCTGTTAATGATCTGGAGAGAGGTGATAACTGCATATTAATGAGGTTCACAAAGGAGCCAAATTGAAAGCTGTTGCAAGCTCCAGTGGTGGCAGCCATAAACCAGAGCTCCAGAGAGAACCGACTGACAACCGGGGACAATACATGTGGTGAAACCGGTATATATGATACTGACTCTTCAGAGGAAAGAAGCAGTTTAGGCATTTTTCTTAGAAGAAGAAACAGCATGGAAAGCAGCAGTCAATAGGTCTCCAGGATGAAATGAAAAAACGAATGCTCAGGTTGTAAGGACCTCAGTGTAACCGAGAGAGGAAGTTGAGAAGGATGTGGTAATCCATTGACCTCTACCTTACATTCTACCTGCCCACTCTGTGGTGGTCACATGACACAGGTCTGGCAAGTCAGTGATCCTAGAATATAGTTCTTGGTTCTGACATAGACTTGTAACTTGACTTAATCTAATGAAATTCATTCCTGGAATAATTCTTGTTACTGAAACTAGTGAAAAAATTAGAAGCTTTCTTCCTGAAAGGACCGCAGGTTATACACCTACGAGTTATTCAGGTAGTGATTGAAACTGCACAGAAAGAAGCAGAGTTGACAGTGAAGCTGGAGGTGGGGTTGAGGTGGGAGGGAGAGGGAGTGCTGGGTGAGAGAGAAAGAGAGAGAGAGAGAGAGAGAGAGAGAGAGAGAGAGAATATATGAGCTCTCCAGAACCAGCTATGCCTAAAACTATAACCCACTGAATTGTTTAGTTATTTGTATTAACAATCTTTTTCTTAAACTGAAGCCAGTTTCAATTGTCTTCTTTATTTGGAAGTAAAAGTGTACTTACTTACCCAAGATAGGTTTTTCAAACATATTGTTCTTTCTTTTATATCCTTTACTTTCTAGCCATACCGGATGACTGTAATTTCCAGAGTGTATTGGAAAAGTTATTCTGAGGACTCGCTCAGGCAGTCTCCTTCAATTGAAATGGAATAATACCCTTCCTGCTATATTTACTTGGAGAAGCCTTCCAAACCCCATGGTCCAGCTCAGACCATCTCTTTTTGGACATCCCTCCTGAATATTCAGTGGAATGTCATCTTTCCTTTCTTTGCTTTACCATATGAAGAGACTTCAAGACTTTAAAAGGAAGATCACAGTTGGAGGATTACAAGTATTTGATTTAAAGATTTACTATAAAATTACAGTAATGGTGTCAGTCAGGGTTCTCTTGAGAAACATATTGCTGTATATTAATGAGGTTCAGGGAGACATACCCGTACCTATATAGAATTATATGGAAGAGGACTGATTAATTTTACATGTATACATGTAATTTGTAATTTTTATATTTGTGAATTTATTATTTTTGTAATTTATAATTAATACATATAATTTTTTAAGGAATTGCCTCCTAGGATTATAAGGGCTAGCAAGTATGAAATGGTAGGGAAGGCTGGCAACTCAGGCAAGAGTTAATGTTGAGTCTTGAGGCAGAATTTCTACTCCAGAAAATGTGAGTTTGGGATCTTTAGAGCTTTCAAGTGATTGGATGAGACCCATCCACATTATTGTGGGTAATCTCCTTTACTTAAAGCCCACCTACGGTAGCTATTAACCACATCTACAAAATACTTTCCCCCAAAAATAATCTAAAACAAATACCTTTGCAGCAACACCTAGATTAGGGTTTGAGTATATAACTGAGTACTACCAAAGCCTAGCCAAACTGGCACATAAAACTAGCCATCACTCATGATCAAGACAATGTGATATTGACATAAAGACAAACAAAACAAATGAATTAATGGAATAGAATAGAGTCTGGAAACAGAAGTACACACAAATGGACAACTGATTTCAACCAAAGTGCATAGTACACAGTGGTGAAAAATAGTCTTTTATGCAGTAGGTGAATTGGCTCTCCATATGCAAAAAGTCGACTTTGAGCCCTCCCTCTCACCAGAAACAAAAATAAAGTCAAAGTGGATCACAAGCCTAAATGTAAATAAATCCTTTCACCATAAAATTTCTGGAAGAAATCATAGGAGAAAAACTTTATTACCTTGGGTTAGGCAAACATTTCTGAAATAAAAATACCAAAAGAACTATCCATAAAAGAACACATTGGTAAATTGGACTTGATCAAAATTTTAAAAGATGCAGAAAGAATAAGCCACAGACCATGAGTAAATATTTGCAAAGCACACATCTGATAAATGACTTGTATCCAGTATTTAGAAAGAAGTCTCAAAATTCAACAATAAGAAAACAAAGAACACAATTTAAAAATAGGCCAAAGATGTTAACATATATTTTCAAAGAAGATATTGAGATAACAGGTAAGCACATGAAAAGACACTTAACATTGTTTGTCCCTAAGGACTAACAATTAAGTTAAATTAAAACCACAATGAGATATTACTACATACCTATTAGATTGGCTGAAATAAAAGACTGATCATATGTAGTGTTGGCAAGGATGGTGAAGAATTGGAACTCTCCTATTGCTGGTGGGATGTAATATGGTCCAACCTGTAAGGAGGACAACTTGGGAGTTTTATAAAATGCGAAGCATATGCCTACCATGTGACACAAACATTCCACTCCTACATACTGACCCAGAAGATATGAAGACATTCGTCTATATAAGGGTTGTACATCTATGTTCATAGTCGCTTCATTTGTAATAGTCCCAAACTGAAAATAACCCAAATATTCATCAACAGGTGAATTGGTAAATGAACTGTGGTATATCCATAGAATGGAATGCTATTTGGGACACCTGGGTGGCTCAGCAGTCGGACCTCTGCCTTTGGCTCAGAGTGTAATCCTGGAGTCCCGGGATGGAGTCCCGTGTCGGGCTCCCTGCATGGAGCCTGCTTCTCCCTCTGCCTGTGTCTCTCATGAATAAATAAATAAAATCTTTAGAAAAAAAAATGGAATGCTATTTAGCAAAAAAAAAAAAAGGAATGAACTGTCAATATATGCTACAACATAAATGAATCTTATGCTGAATGAATGAAGCTAAATTTAAAAAAAAAGAGAGTACATCCTATCTGATTCCAGGTGCATAAAATTCTAAGAAATGCAAACCAATATACTATGACAGAAATCAGACTGATGTTTGCCTGGGGATGCAAGGAACAGTGAGAAGGAGGGATTACCAATGTTCATAGCAGCAATCTTCACAATAGGCAAACTGTGGAAGGAGCCTCGGTGTCCATCGAAAGATGAATGGATAAAGAAGATGTGGTCTATGTATACAATGGAATATTAGCCATTAGAAACGACGAATACCCACCATTTGCTTCGATGTGGATGGAACTGGAGGGTATTATGCTGAGTGAAGTAAGTCAGTCGGAGAAGGATAATCATCATATGGTTTCACTCATACAGGGAATATAAAAAATAGTGAAAGGGATTATAGGGGAAAGGAGAGAAAATGAGTGGGAAAAATTAGAGAGGGGGAGAAACCATGAGAGACTCCCAACTCTGGGAAACTAACAAAGGTTAGTGGAAGGGGAGTTGGGCGGGGGATGGAGTGACTGGGTGATGGGCACTGAGGGTGACACTCGACGGGAGGAGCATTGGGTGTTATACTATATGTTGACAAATCGAACTACAATAAAAAAAATATATTTAAAAAAAGAGAGAAGGGGCAGCCCGGTGGCTCAGCAGTTTAGCGCTGTCTTCAGTCTAGGGCATGATCCTGGAGACCCGCAATCGAGTCCCACGTCAGGCTCCCTGCATGGAGCCTACTTCTCCCTCTGCCTGTGTCTCTTCCTCTCTCTGTGTGTGTGTCTCTCGTGAATAAATAAATAAAATCTTTAAAAAATAAAAAATAAATAAAAAAATAAAAAGAGGAGGGATTACAAAGAAGTCAAGGAAATTTTGAGATGGGAGGTGAATATGTTCGTTACCTTAATTATGATGCCGAGTTCATGTATATATACATATGTCAAAACTTATCAAATTGTACACTTTAAATATGTGCAGTTTATTACATGCCAATTATACCTCAGTAACAATGTTAAATAAAAAGTCAGTGCAGGCTAATGACAGAGAATTTCAAACAAAATAACTAAAGCATTCCAGGAGCCAAAGTCTTATCTTTCTCATCTCCTCTGAGTTCTTAAGTGGAATTTGGAATCCCAAATTCTGACTATGCTACCTTGAACTTCTCTGAGTCCCATATTTATCATTTGTAAAATACTTTGCAAATGCTACTACCTACCTCAAAGAGGTTATCGTGAGAACCAAAAGTGATAATGCATGTAAAAGTGCTTTCCAAGCTACAGCACACTACACAAATGTTAGCTATTGGTTTGGTTGTTACATGCCATCTGCATACTATTCTTGCCCAATATATATGCGTCATGCCAGCTCAAGCCCTAATAGCCCATATATAAAGTGTAATTAATTGTACAAGTTACTCAAATAGCACTGAAACCCAGTATTCAGGGCATGACACATCCTAAATACATAACAGATTTTGGAACAAATCAGTTTCAGCCCAAACCAGAATGGAGGAAACAGACAGATGCCTTCACATATATGCCAAGCAAGTGAGACCCACCCAAACAGGGTGGGGTCCAGGGCAATGGAAGGCAGACAGAATGCAGGCCTTGTGTATTTCCTGCCAGGGGCTGTTACAGGGAGCATTGACCCCATAACATGGCTGGCCCTGATGTGCTGAGAAGCTCTCTGCTTTTAGAGCCAAGCTTACTTGGAAATTAACTGCCTTAATCTTGGCTGACCACACTAGTCAACCAGAATGATGGGGTTGCAGATCACTCTCATTTAGTTAAAGTTAAAGATGACAAAAACAGAATTAGGTAAATATTCTCCACGTCACCCTCCTTCCATTCTCCTCCCCAGAATTCTTATTTAACTGATCTTAAATCACAGCTGGTGCTTTCCCCATAATTTGAATTCATTTGCAGCTACTAGAATTTGTTTTCCCCAATCGTATCTAGGGATTTTGAACATGTGGGACCCAGTGTCTGAGCCTGGCTTTTCACTGCTGACCTAGGGAGGGAGGTTGGACTCCTGGGCTGGGCTGTATAGGATGCCCCACAAAAGTGGGGAAGCATTCCCTGGGGAACTGGCCTAAAAGGAGCATCTGGGAAATATAGCAGGAAGTTGGAGACACAACTGGGATGGGAGGAAGGATGGTGTGGTGGAAGCATGTGTGTGTGTGGAGGCAACAAGAGCTGAATTAAAGAGAATGGTGGGAAGAAGTCAGAAAACAAAGTGGCCTCAAAAGCTGGATGGCCAGTAGTAAGTGGCCAGAAACATAAGAGCCTTCTCCCCAACAGTGCATCAGATAAGGCTAGACCCTTGCTCAAGGCACTCCGCGCACCTCAGTAAGGGACCAAGTGCACCAGTCACTATGGCCTCTAGAAGCTCTGCAGCCCAGGTCTCTCTGGCTGGGAATCTTCTTATCCAACCCTTAGGCTGGGAGGAGTGGGCAGGCAGCTTGTGGAAACTCATGGGTATCTTTACACGCTCTGGGAAGAGACATCATTGTAGCAATTACTGCATACTGAAGGAACAGAACTTGGCCCCAGGGATCCCCTCTGCGATTGGAAATACTTCTCTCTGTCTTTCCAACTATTAATCCTCGTTCAACTGAGCAACACAGAGAACTTGGAATGCCAGAGCCTTGCCCAGAGTAGATTTTGTTTTCAGGTAGTCTTAAAGCCAGTGGAGGGGTTCCACTAGGACTTGGCTTTTCCATAAGGAGAGTGATGGTTTGAGGGGGAGGAGGGAAGGGCCAAAGCAAAAAACCAAACTCCTCTGTAGGTGCTTCAGAACTCATCATTAGGGATTTATTTGTCAGTGTTATGTTTGCTGTCCTTCTAGAAACTTCTTCTGGGATATTTTTGAGCCGAGTGAGTCACCAAGCCCCAGACCTCTCAGCGTAGATTCACTATGGTTAGAGAGTCCGACTGTAAGTCTGAATCACCAGAACTGCTGTCCTGTAGGAATGGGAACTGCTATGGGGGATGTAAGACATAGAAAACAGGACAGGGAAGCAAGAGCCAAAGACCAATCCCACTTCTGTTACCCCTTTGCTCAATGTCAGTGGTCTAGTGTCCACCTTCATTCATTGGAAGCTATTCTTGTTTGGTAAATGTGGTATCATTAAACTTCAGATAAAGAAGCACAGAGGAGAAGGATATTCACAGCCAGATGGGAGACACATTTTGTGATCACTGTTAAAGGGACAGATTTCAGGCTTTGGCAATTAAAAGTGCTTCCCTGGCCAAGGCACCACTGACAGGGCCTAGGCACCCTCAGCCAAGCCTGGCACACCTCCACTGTCAACAAACACCATTCCCCATGTTTCCACTGCACCTCAGCACCTCGAGCAAAGCCAGCCTGTCCGTGCAGGGGGCTGCTAGTTCTGCCAAATATCTGTGCACTGCTAGGGGACTGGCTAAGAAGCACAGCCCCAAAGAATTGCAATTTGCAATATAAAAAGCTTGAAGTCCTTCCAGATACTGGAGATTCCTTTTTGTCCCAGGCTGTGAAGGAGGCCTTTTTTTGAGCCAAACTCCATGCTAAATGAGTGAAAGCATGCTTCTATATCTGGGGCATGCATACCCGTGGGGACATGTGACAGATGGCTAGGTGGTACAGGGAACACCAGGATAATAATCTGCTTCTTCCTAAAGGGGCAATTTTACTCAATAGGAAATAGTTGAAAACATTTTTTTCTGTGTGGAATACAATCAGATCTATATATGAGTTTTCAAAAAAGCCATTTCAAGCTTTCT